TCTTTCTTTCGGGAGGCCTCCCCCCTCCGCCCGACCCAGCCTCCACCCGGCCCCCCTCACGGGCCTGTGGGGCTCCAACTACTTACTGGGTACCACCTCCAGGTTTCTCTCCCTCCTTCCTTCCCTGCAGGCGCCGGTTCCCACCAAGAACCGCCCGCCGCCCTTCAGCCCCACCGATGGCTGCCAAAGCCCCTTCCCTCGCGGAGGCGCTGACCAGCGGCTTCCTGACCTGCTCCGTCTGCCTGGAGCGCCTCCGGCAGCCCAAGATCCTGCCCTGCCTGCACACCTATTGCCACCCTTGCTTGAAGAAGCTGGCGGCAGGGCGGAAGAAGGACCTGCAGTGCCCCGAGTGCCGCCAGTCGGTGCCTCTCCCGCCGGGCGGCGTGGACGGCCTGAAGACCAACTTCTTCATCAACGGGCTCCTGGACCTTGTCTGCCCTGCGGGGAAGGCACAGCCCACATGCAGCCCCTGCCGGCTCATCGGCCAAAGCGCTAACCGGGTGGCCGTTTCTCGATGCTTGGACTGTGCCGACGATCTGTGCCAGGCCTGCACCGGGGGCCACCATTGCTCCCGGCTCACACACGCTCACTGTGTGGTAGACATGGAGAGCTACCTCTCCGGAGAGTACAACGAGGAGATCCGGAAGCGGCAGGCCTCGCGGTGCAAGGAGCACGCCGGGGAGGAGCTGCGGTTCTTCTGCACCCCCTGTGCCGCCCCGCTGTGCCGAGAGTGCCGGCTGGGCCCCCACCTCCAGCACCCCTGCCTCTCCCTGGCCGAAGCGGCGGAGGCTCGCCGCCCCATCATCGCCGGCCTCCTGGTGGGCGTCGAGGAGACCGTGCAGCGCATCCAACGGGGACGGGCTAGCCTGGAGGAGGAGCTGAGGGTGCTTGAGGCCCATGGCGTTGCCGTCCGGGAAGCGGTGGAGCGCACCTGCTCCAGGGTGGTGGCGCAGCTGCTGGCCCAGCAGGAGGAAGTGCTGGCCCAGCTCTCGGAGGGCCTGGAAGAACGGAAGAAAGCTGCTGAGGTCCTGCGCTCGGAGCTGGAGTTCCAGGAGCAAGTGGCCTCCAGCACGGTGGCCTTTGCCCAGAAGGTGCTCAGCCTGGGCCGGGAGCCAGAGATCGTTTCGCTGGAGCAGCTGATCTCGGAGAGGCTGCGACAGCTGCAGGACTTTTCCTGGGAGCCCCTGGCCATCCGGCTGCCCCAGCTGGAGATCTGCTCAGATTTGCAGAGCAGCCGGTCCCTCCTTCACCTTACCTTCAGGGAGGGCAAGCAGGCCCTGAGGAGACCAGAGGAGGAGAAAGATCAGAAGGAGAAGGCGAGGGAGGGGAAGGAGAGAGAGGAGAGAGCCACAAACGGAGGAGCCCGGAAGCAGCAGCAGCCGGTGCCACTCCTGGGGCCTGAACCGCAGGCCCTCCCCAGTCCCTTTGTCACTTCCAGGGAAACCCTCGGCCCGGAGGGGCCACCAGGTGGGGGGCCAGGCAGCCGCGTGGAAGCCCCTCTTCCCCCTCCCAAGGGGACAGAAGCTCCCCCGCTGCTCCCCAAGCCCACCTTCTTGTGCAGCTTCTGGGCGAAGACTTCCACTGACAAGAAGCGCCCGCGGGTGACGGGCCTTTGTCCCTACGGCTGTGGGGAGATCCTGGTGGCCGATGAGCAGAACCGGAAGTTGAAGCGCTTTTCCTTGCAGGGGGACTTCAAGGGCACGGTCCCAGTGCCCAGCGAGGTGGCTCCCTTCAGTGTGGCTGCTGTGGGCAGCAAAGTGGCCTTCACCGCTGGCTCTCAGCTGTACCTCTTAAATGGAGAGGGGGCCCTCGTCTGGCAAAAGGCCCTTAAGCGGGGGCAAGCCAGCCACGCCCTGACAGCCGTTGGGGGAGACCGCCTGGCGGTGAGCGTTGCCAGGCACCTCGAGGTGTACAACCTGGAAGGGCGCCTGGTGGAGAGGATTGTGCCAGAGGGCACACAGGAGAGGTGCCTGGTCTTCCTGGCCAGCCGGAAACAAGGCTTCGTAGGCTCTGACTGGTACCGGCAGAGCGTGGTGCTCTTCGGTGGGGAAGGGGACCTCGTGGCTGAGTGCCGGAAGGAGCAGCTGAGCGAGTGCCAGCCAGGGGCCGTCTGTGTCGACGCCGTGGGAACAGTCTATGTGGTGTTGCGGGAGCAGAACAAGGTGGTGGCTTTTTCTGAGAAAGGCGAGGTGCTGGGGCCCTTCCTCACGGCTGACAACAGCCTTGACCGGCCGCGGGTGGCCACAGTGGCTGGGGATGGGCGCTTCGTGGTGGCCCTGAGCAATGGGACGGTCCACGTCTTTAAGATCAGGTATCAGCGCAAGTCAAGATGAGCGGGATGGCGGAGGTGGGAGGGCGACAGGGAAGGGCCATGGATGGGGACGGGGGGGGGGAATGCTGCAAACGGGGAAGCTTTGCGAAAGAGGAGTTGCTGCACCTGTCCAGCTCCCTCCACCCACACCGCCATCCCTGGCCTTGGCCCAAGGAAGGGGGTGGGAGCCTCTTGTGTTGACAGCCATCTGCTGAAGACAAGCTGCCGTGAGGGAGGAACCTTGGCATCTCAAGGGAGCGCTTCTGGGGGCTCCCTCTCCCCTGGATGTTTGGGGGGAGAGCCTCCCTCCTGCTTGTCCTGCAAGTCAAATCCCAATGTAGGAGTTCAGTGCTCAGGGACTGCCGGGGTGGGGGTGGGTGAATAATCAGATAGCAAGGGCAAGATCGACTTTGAAATGTGGTCCTCACATTTTTTTAAACTGCCTTCAAAGCCTCAAACATGCCAGGAAACTGGGCCTCTGGCTTGCTGTTCCTGCTCTCAGGAAAGCCCATGGACCCAGGCAGGTGACCCAGACCTGCCCGGGATCCACTCCAAGTGCTCTTAACTTAGACTCAGGGTTTTGCCAGTGTGTCCACTTGCCAGCTTTCAAAACAACCCAGCAGTGTCTGTCTGTCTCTGTCTCTCTCTCTCTGTGTCTCTGTGTGTGTGTGTGTGTGAGAGAGAGAGAGAGAGAGATAGAGAGGGAGGGAGAGATCCAGAGGACTGTCCTTGGGGCTTTGTGTATGCAAGGGAGTTATGACTTTCTCTTCCTCTGTTTACCTTGAGGGGGAATAAAGACACACACACACGCACCCCTTCTGTGGGTGGCGATTGTCCCGTTGGTGCCTTGTGCAATAATTGAGACAAATGCAGCTTGCTTTCTGTGGTTTTATGTTAATCTGAAATGTGATGCAACTGTTCCTTGCTTCTTTAAATATGCAGTTCTATTGCTCAGACTTTTCCAAAGAGGAGAAAGGCTGAAATAAACCAAAGAATCATAAGATAATGAAGTTCATCATCATCCTTTTAAGATTGCATAGCCTGAGTGGATCCCATGGAGATTTGGGGGGAGGCCTCTGAACCCTGATGTCCGATTCAAGAGCAACTGCGGGGGCTGCTCACAAAAGGGCCAGAGATGGGACAAAGCCCATGGATGGGGGGCAGGGCTGGCATCTTGCCAGGGGCCCCTCCAGTCACTGCACAGCCCAGTGGGATCCTGGCCTGTTGCTAACCGTCAAGGGCCAGGGCGGGGTCCGCCGTGGGGCAAGGCTGTTCTGGGGCCAGGAGTGCCCCATCTCTGCCTGGGCTTCTCAGCGTACCAGAGCTTCCGGTGAGACCCCACACACTGGAGCGGAGAGGCCTTCCCTTGCCTTGTGCAGCTGCAGACCCCGCGGGAAGGGGGCCTAGGCCTGTTCGCCCAGCGCATCTCAGGCTCACCGGTGGATCTCATGCTGTCCTCTGGAGAGGGGCAGCAATGGCTCCTCCTGGGTAGGGAGGGAGAAAGGCCTTGGCTCCTAATTCTTCACAGGCAGCAGGTGATGACTGAAGCAGGTGCTGGTGCCGCAGCTGCACAGGTTGCTGATCCACTTCCAGGAGGAATTCAGGGTGCTGGTTTAAATCTATAAAGTCCTAAATGTCCTCGGTCCAAGACCGTGTCTCCTATTATGAGCCATCTCAAATATCAGGCCATTAAGGCGTTTCTCTTCTTCCCATCACCTTCATTTGGGCGCATTTGGTGGGGACACGGGGGAGGAGGGCCTTCTCTGTGGCTGTTCCCAGACTTTGGAACTCCCTCCCACAAGAGGCCAGACTGGCCCCATCTTTGCTGTCCTTCTTCAAGCAGGTGAAGACCTTTCTTTTCAGGCAGAATTTTCATTAGTGACAGACTATCTAGGAGAGGTTGTTAAATGAGATGTTTTTTCATTTTGTTGCTTTTGACTATGGTTTAGTAATGCTTTGCCTAACATTGTTAACATGTTTTTAATTCATTTAATATTCACATGACTCACTGTCCTTAGCTTTAATATTGTGTTTTAATGATGTAAGCCACCTTGGGTGGTTTCTTAGGAGAAAGGCAAGGTAAAATATTTTAAATAAAATAAAAGAAGATAGATAAAATCATTTTCTTCTCACCAGGGAAACTGCTGGGAAACTCCTGTGGCTGCCATAGGCCTTCCATGAAGTTCTTCATGGTGCGAACTTTTAGGCACTTTTAGGAAAGAGTCAAGACAGATTCACAGATAAGGAAGTGGGAGGGAGGGGGGAGGGAGGAGGCCCCTCTGTGATCCCCAGAAGCTTAGCAGAACCTCCATGGTCAAAGGCAGCCTGGCTCTCCATGCCACCTGCCTGGGGCCATGCTGGGGTGGGCCCAGTGGGCTGGCTGGCTTGCTTGCTTGTTTGCTTCCTTCCTCCCTCCCTTCCTTCCCAGCAGATCACCTGCAGATGAGGGAGCCCAACCAGATGGCTCCAGGGTGGTCTGATCCAGGAGCAGGGCTTTTTCAGGCATCTGCTCCACTGAAGGGCTGTCCTGGGATTTGGGACGTCCAGCTCTCTTACTCAGCAGATCTGCTTGAGGCCCCCAGGGAAACTCCCCCTCCCCCCTTTCCATGACACACAGGGAGTGTGCACTTTTGGCCAACCGCACATTACACAACCCCTTGCGTAACTGAGTTCTCGCACATTCCAGGCCTGGCAATATGCTCATAGACAAAGAGGAGGGAGGCTGGCCTGGAATCCCTCAGCGGCTACCAAAAGCCCCTTTCTGGCCACTGATGCTCTGTCCTGGAAGCCCAGCCCTCCTGGCATAAAGCAGCCTTTCCCAGGAGTGGTTTGGCATCGCCTCCCTTCCAGCAGCCTCTGGGGAGGAGGGGAGCAAGGGCACCCAGAGCAGAGGCCTCAGGGGGTCCCTCCTGAGCAGCCTCTCCAGCTGCCCATAGTGAAGAACACACAGATTTCCAGCTGTTTGGCATCTCCAGTGAGAAACCGCTGGAAGACTGGCCCTTCCTTGCATCGCCAGTAGATGGCGCTTAGGTCCGCCGGCAGCGGTGGCTGCGCTCAGCCGGAGCGGGCGCGCCTGGAAGCAGCCGCCGCCCCAAAAGTGACTTCTGCCTCTGGTGCCAAGGTTTGTGGGCTCAGTCCCGCGAGACCTGTCCTTGCCCAGGGCAGTGCAGGAAGGAGACTGGCCCTGAATGCCCGAAGAAGGGGGCCCGAGGCGCTTGTTCAAAGCCTGAATGGGGCGAACTCCTCCCCTTTCCCCCAACCAAGAAAGAGGAAGCTCCCTGAGGCAGGGGCCCCAACCACGGAGGCACCCGACGGCTTGTTCCAGGAAAAAGGCTCAGAGGCGTGGGGGCCCAGAGGGTGCGGGGGCCACCCCTTTCCCCTGGCCATCAGCACCTCAGCAGAAAGCCCGGACTACCGGTCACCCTCAGATCCTCTCTGACTATGGCCACCTTGAGGGAGAAGAGTCTTCTTTTTGAGAGGTGGCCCCTTGATGTGAAGCTGCTTTTGTTGTTTAGTCGTTAAGTCCTGTCCGACTCTTCGTGACCCCGTGGAGCAGAGAGCACGCCAGGCCCTCCGGTCTTCCACGGCCTCCCAGAGTCTCGCCAAATTCATGTTGGCCGCTTCGATGACAGTGTCCAACCATCTCATGCTCTGTCGTCCCCTTCTCCTCTTGCCTTCACACTTTCCCAACATCAGGGTCTTTTCCAGGGAGTCTCCTCTTCTCATGAGATGGCCAAAGGATTGGAGCCTCAGCTCCAGGATCTGTCCTTCCAGTGAGCACTCAGGGTTGGTCTCCTTCTGAACGGATAGGTTTGTTTGTTTGTTAAATTTATACCCCACCCATCTAAACACAAGTCTACTCTGGGTGGCTAACAATAAAAATGGAATAAAAACAGTAATAATAAAATTAAAAGCAACAATAGTAATATGGTTCAAGGTTTGTTCTCTTTGCAGTCCAGGGGACTCTCAAGAGCCTCCTCCAGCACCACAAGTCAAAAGCATCAATTCTTCAGCAGTCCACCTTCTTTATGGTCCAGCTCTCACACATATCGCTACTGGAAAAACCATAGCTTTGACTATGCGGACCTTTGTCGGTAAGGTGATGTCTCTGCTTTTTAAGATGTTATTCAGTTTTGTCATCACTTTCCTCCCAAGAAACAGACATCTTTTGATTTTGTGACTGCTGTCACCATCTGCAGTGATCATGGAGCCCAAGAAAGTAAAATCTGTCACTGTCTCCATATCTCCCCCTTCTGTTTGCAAGGAGGGGATGGGACCAGTGGCCATGATCTTAGTTTTTTTGATGTTGAGTTTCAGGCCATTTTTGGCGCTCTCCTCTTTCACCCTCATTAAGAGGTTCTTTAATTCCTCCTCACTTTCTGCCATCAGAGTGGTATCATCTGCATATCTGAGGTGGTCGATAATTCTTCGGGCAATCTTAGTTCCGGCTTGGGATTCATTTAGTCCAGCCTTCCGCATGATGTATTCTGCATATAAGTTAAATAAGCAGGGGGACACAGCCTTGTCCTACTCCTTTCCCAATTTTGAACCAATCAGTTGTTCCATGTCCAGTTGTAACTGTTGCTTCCTGTCCCACGTATAGGTTTCTCAGGAGACAGATAAGGTGCTCAGGCACTCCCATTTCTTTAAGGACTTGCCATAGTTTAATGTATTCTCGAAGGCTTTCAGAGCCAGGATCTGGTGGTTGTTGTGGGTTTTTTTCGGGCTCTTTGGCCATGTTCTGAAGGTTGTCCTTCCTGACACTTCGCCAGTCTCTGTGGCCAGCATCTTCAGAGGACTGGAGTAGGAACAGAGCATGGACAGAGTTCCTACTCCTGTCCTCCGAAGAGGCCGGCCACAGACTGGTGAAACGTCAGGAAGAACAACCTTCAGGCCACGGCCAGAGAGCCACAAAACCCCAAAACAACTATTGGCATAGTGTGTTGTGGTCCACACAGTCAAAGGCTTTAGCGTAGCCACTGAAGCAGAAGTAGATGTTTTTCTGGAAGCTGGTTTAAGGACCGGCAACCCCGAGGCGGAAGGTGGGTCACCCGCTGTCAGTCTTCTTGACTCCGCCTTGACATTCCGCGGAAATGTTTGAAAAACGTTTCTACGTGTGCATCTGCGCCTTCTTTGGGGACACGTGCACGCCTCTGCCAGCCAGCCACGCGCACCCCGGCGCCCGGCTTCGCCCCTTTTCTGCCACCCGGCTGCTGCTGCTGCTGCTGCTGGGCGGGGGCTCTGGCCGCCGAGCCCGGGGTGACGGCGGTGGGTGAGGGGCAGGAGGGGAGCCCTCGAAAGATGTACAGAACGAGCCCTTGTGCTCCGCTCTCGTGCACCACGGGGTGGTGAGGAGGACGAAGGCGGAGTCCCA